CGAGAAGGCATCAACGACTTCCTCTAGACTGGATGGATAGCTGTGAAGGCTATGGGACCCAAATATGGCCATTTTAATATCATCCCCACCTGACCCTAGGGCAGCGTGACCCGTGATAGTTTGGGAACCCGTGTCCCAGTGGGAATCCAGGAGTAGGACCGAGACGTACTGCTTCTGGCCTGGCTGAAGATGCAGATAGTTCTTCACAGCATCCTTGGCGATTTTAAATAGTTCGTCCTTCTTTGTAGCCGGGCCATGTTGTTGGGCGATGTTGAGGTCCCGAAGCTCAGCGACCGTTTTATCGGTCCGAATGACGTGGACTTTAGCTTCATTCCGCATCTGCCCATTGACTGTATCCCGACGGCTCAGAGTCCCACTCTGCCACTCTTCTTCGAAGCGGAAACATCGTCTACCGAAATTGTTCCGGAACATTTGCTCGCCAGTAAAGGCTTGCCATAAATATGCGGCCATCCGATACTTTTGAATAGCAGTTTCTAGACCATTGCCTTCTCGCTGTATCTCCGCCGGGGTAGCATCGAACGTCCCGTCGGAGTCCTTTCCTAGCAAGACCACCAGGTGCAAAGGCGGAGCGTTTACCAGCGGAAGGTAGTTGATACAAATCCAGGACGAGTGCGCGGCAGGGTAAGAACTACCTGCGGACAGCTTGGTTGAAACAAAATCGAAGCGCAGGCGATTCGGACCTGGGGTGAGATGTACTAGAACTTTGAAATGAGACGACGTGACAGGCCAGCTGACTGGTGGGAACCCATCCTGGTGATGGTAGACCGTTACGCTTCCGTCCAGCGGATGTTGCCTTGGGTCTCCAATCTGGCCGTAGGCGAGGAGTACTTTTTGATGTACCTAAACATCGTTGAGCTTCGTTAGTTCGGACTGTTATAGGAACGCGGGCGTACACTAGGTATGCGATTGAGAACGATAGGGGACACCTACCCAAGAGTTATCTGCAATGGAGATTATTCTAGGAGCATAGGGTGAGGAAGGGGTTGGTGTCCGAACCCCGCCATTGATGCTCCCCTGTAGAACACATTGTCAGTATGGAACCGCAGAAATCGAACTCACGGTCTCTAAGTGCAAGACATGAAAGAGGGTATATCACATACAACAATGCTACTGCGCTGAGATGGGGACGTGTGAGGAGCCGGTCGCTGAGGAGGCACCGACAGTGAGGGATTATTACCAGTGGTGCTGCCATTGGTTTCGCTCAACGAGGGGAGATTCGGTGACGAAGTGGTGGGCTTAATGGAGGAGGGCGGGGTGAGGGAGCTGTATGAGGCCGTATCGAGAGTGGAAGACGACTTCCCCGACGTCATTTCACCGTTAGATTGCGACTCATTGGATTTCGTCTCATTGGATTTGGTGGCCCGAAAACTAGGTCTAGAGCGGCGACGAAGCTGCGAAAAGAACGGCATGATGAGAGGACTCTTGTCACTGTCAATTGAAGGAGAAATCAACTGTGTATCAGTGGCGATGAACAAGGAAAGAAAGCCTCCACGAGCAAGAGGCAAAGTACTGGTAGTATTCCTTCCTCCCGAATTGCTACCGCTCTCCTCGCCAGAACGAGGGACGAACCAGTCCAGGCCGACTGGGAAGTAAATCGGAAGGAGGAAAGAGAGAACAAGGAATTGGCGAAGAGGAAACGAGAGAAATGAACTGTCCGGAGATATTCAGGATAGCCAGTTGTCGGGGAGAAGGTACGACCGAGGTGGAAGAATCGAAAGCGACCGTTTGCGGTTGCGACTGATAGCCAATTTTGGTAACTACCTACAATAACCACCCCGCATGAATTATACGCGTAAGAGAAGAGCGATATAAAAAGAAAGAGGGGAAAAAAGAGAGGGAGAAAAAAAAAAAAGAAAAAGGTAGCAAGCGAGAGACAAGAGGGGGAGAGCAAAAGGGAAGAATAGAAATACAGTCCAAATAAAATAAAGGGAAAAAAATGAGAAACAAATCGAGCGACTAGTTTTAACTAAACTCACCTACCACTGGGGAGTATGGGACCAACTTATCTTTCGTGACCCAGTAGATAAACTCGATGGACTAATGAATTATTGTGGCGATGGGCAATGAGGGGGGTAAGGAAAGGGAAAAAAAGCTGATACTAGATACCTACCTTCATTTTCTCCTATCGCTACTTCCAATACTGATATATCAGATATTAATAGTAACTAATTGCTATTGTTCTCCTCTCTTCGATTCTCCCAATCAATTATCACACCTCCAGCATCCCACACGCAACCCCCCCCCCCTTTCCAGGCTTTAGGATGCAGCTACTATCAGACAGACTTCCAGGTTTTTTCTTTCCCCTCTCGAGCGCGACAACCTGGGAAAGCATGTAAAAGGGCGATGATGACCCACTGCGACGCTGTTGCGTATAGACAAGGAGGTGTTACGTCGGCGGCATCTCACTGGCCAACCATAAGGGATCTCGAGTTTCACTACCCATTCATGAGTGGATCAGATCGTCTGCTAAATTTGTCTTTGCTGGAGCAGTTAGGCACGGCATTCCTTAGTTTTACAGGGGATCGAAGACTTTTCTCGTCCATTATTCTCAGAGGTTGAATTGACGACACATACTCGGTTGAAGCTTCTTTTGAAACTCAAGGTTCAAAAAGAAAACGTCCCTGACCCGTGTGTCTAGGGCTTAGTTTGAGAAAAAGAAAATTTTGTTTCATATTGTGCTCTTTTTCTGATCTCTGATCTCTGATTAGTCCCTTTTCTTTTTTTCCCCTTCTCTTTTAAATTTCGATTTTATTCTAACCGGGTTGTTTTGGGAAAGGCTCCCGTGACTAAATCTCTTTAGTACTTTTTACCCTGACCAAGTTCAATCAAAGTTCCAGCCGGTTAAGAAGCCCGCCCCTAAAATAGTGACTGACCTAGACCTTGAATAACCTAGAGATCTTGGTACTAGTAGCTACTAGTAGTGCGAAATGGGATCCATTCCATGGTCGTTTATCTGTCCTTTCTCCCTCTCCAACCATGATATCAATTCATTTTTCTTTTTTAGCTGGCGTTGTACACAATGATATACTTCGTACGAGTACAATATCTTTGATATTTTGAGAATTGTATGTTATTACTAGTAGTAGTATGAACGACACAGTGCCTATAAGTACATACATCTGCTTTTGCCGCTTGCGGTCCACGTCACTCCTCGCCCGGTCCTTGTCTACGGTTTGCTAGCTCTCCAATCCCAGTGCCTCAATAACTCGTCAGATGCTTGTATCCTTCCTATATATTATTCTTATGACTTATTATTATTATTATTATTATTATTTTTTCTTCCTCTTCTTTTCTATCCTTAGGGTTTGTTGGTTCCTATCATTGCAGGACTCACCGAACCCCACCTCCTGAAGTTGCTTAATGCTTCTTGGCAGTGGGCAAACAAGTGAGCACTAACGCCGGCGAAAAAGATAAGGAAAGGGGTGGATGGAAAGTCCAGACTGAAGAGGGAGAGGGTCATGCCTCAGGCTGTCAATTATGGAAACGCAAGCAAACGATGTCTTACTATCGGAATGCCACCGACGCCGTTTAGCCGCTGTCTCTCCTCACCACACATCCAGGGATGAATGTGTCTCAGACAGGGGCGATGGTTGACAGAAGTCAATGCTGGCAGATCCCCTTGTTGACTGTCATAGTACGTCTTGATCTAACTCTGAAACAAAGAGAGAGACAGAGAGAAAACCTAAATGAAACCCGACCGGTCGGTACTTTGCGGTTGCTAAAGTAGGAGGAGCAAGGGAGACAGAGTGTGTGAAGGTAGTATGTCCTAATGTCCTCGATCGAGAATCGATAGGTGGCTTTGAACCAAAATCGGTTCGCACGGCTTCCCTGCTGGCACGGCAACGCTTATATACTTGGTATGAGTAGTCTCAATTGTATGAACATCATTACTCTCTTTGTTCCTTGCAGGATACGATGGTCGTAGGCGAAGCTGGGGAAGAAGGGGCTTATGAATGCCCAGATCAAGGGAGGGAATTGAGAATGGATCGGAGATTTTGGTTGCATACCGACCGGGACATTCCAAATCGATTGGTTCTGCGTCGTCCGAGGATCGTAAGTAGTATAGTAAGTACAGATTCATATCTCTAACTCAGGTATGCTGGTTTTGTGAAGAGACACAAGGTTGAGAAACGACGTGAAGAAATCGGCGGTGCCATGCATACTTATCAAGTAACAGATAGAAGACGGAAAGGTTTATTCCTCATCTTTCTTCGGTCCATGGCCAAAATGTTGGGAATGTCGAGGGCAAACCAAAAATAAAATAGAATAAAATAAAAGTGGGCGAACGTAAGGGGAGAGTAGAGCTACTTCCTAATATTAGAGAGAGAGAGAGAGAATGTGTGTGTGTGTGTGTGTGTGTGTGTGTATGTACCTCTCAAATACCTCTCAAATATCAGGTACTATTGAAACACCTACATATATTCAAACAAGATACATCCATGGAGAACCGAATGTACCAATCTAGTAGTACTAGTAGTGGAAGGTACGAGGCGACCGGGAGCGATTGGATGTTTTTGGGGGGCATTGGCACGTAGCAGGGACGAATTGTGACCTTCAAGATCCACACCAGGGCAACCAACATCTTGACCTCAAAAAGGGCGCCCCATCTGATTTTTCCCCTCCTCGAGATGGAATTTTGGAATTTTTGGAAAATTTCTCGCTTTCACTAACTACTTCCATGCTAAAATTGCGGCTAATCTGAGATCCATTTCCCCCAGAGTTCCTGCTTTCTTAGTCTCACTCAGCTAAAGCGATCTAAGCCCAAACTTCCGCTCTCCAATTGGGTTGGCTTCCATTTTCACTTTCGTTATTCGTTCTTCTCCCTTCATCCCTCTCCACCTTTCAGCCGCCCTTCACTTCTCGGTGACTTCACAAGCCTCTTCTTCACTAAGCTCCCTAGACCTTGCATTGCCCGACGAACGGATTCCATGTTCACGGCCATTTTTATTTCCATCCAGTGAATCCTGTGCACAGAACCAATGGCTCTCCCTCAGCCTTCCAAATCGGAGAAGACGATCCGCAAAATAGACATCGCTCAGGTATGTCGACACTCCTGCGTTCAACGAACGCTGTACCATATCCTCCCCAGCTCGCGTGGCTTGGAAAAATTCGGACTGACTCGTCGCTCTGGCATTAGGTATCCCTTAGCCTGCAGGATCGCTTGGGTCTTGCCAAGGTCAAGTACCAGAATGGTCGTCTTCACGGCTTGGACCAGAATGGTGGCCGAAACAGTCAGCTAGGAAGTGATAAACCTTCCGACTCCTCTTCCGACATCTCCCAGAGTCGATGCGAGACCCCGATAACCTCTCCCCCCTTACGGACCGCGATGTACTCGAAAGAACTGCCCCGGTCGTCTCGCAATAGACATGCTGTGACCTTCGATTCCAGAGTGATGCAGCCGATGTTGTCCGCCAGCCGAAAACGTCTCCGGTCGGATTCAATCGCAGATCACCCTGCTAAAATCCCCCGATCGTCATGGAAAAGCGCCTATCAGCTGCCCGAATCGTCCCCAGGCTTCAACCGTCACCTCGTGAATCGTCATCTTCCCTTTGTCGGTGAGACGGCTACAATTCCGGAGTTATCTTCTCCCGCATACCATCACCAGTCGGATGAAGATAACGATCCGGACCTCCCAATCCACAGCTTCCAGAATGTGAGCTCCATGGTGAGCTCCTCACCTCCTCGAACTCCACCGCCAAAGCATGCTCGGTTATCTCGAAATGATCGAACCACACGGCATGAAGATGGTGCGGATCTGCTGCTCTATCTAGCCAACTCCCCTACCCCAGCCAGTGTCGCTGCGAAGGCTCATGGCCGGGAGTTTCCCCCATCCACCCCGCCAAGTCAGCATGCTGTTCTCCCTTCACTGACTCCAACACCTGGAGGTGGTGGCGTCTTCCCGAATTTCAGTACTCCTAACCAGCAATTCAATTTCGCTGATTTTGTAAATGTGACACCTAGTCCAGCGCAACCTGCCTGGGGTGGCCGCACACCTGGAGGCCCTGCCAAGACCCCGCTAACAGCCAGGGACAGAAGAAGGTCTCACCTGGAGAACTTGTTGCCTCCCGGTGCAGATAGCCCCAAGACGAGAGCCAAGCAAGCAGGCGTTGTCTTGCAACTTGGTGGAGAGCTGCGACCTTGAGCTCATTGTTCCTGGCCAAGAGAACCTTGTCTGCTTGTTTATGCTTTTCACGACTACTATGACTCACGTACGCACAGCTTGTGATTATCTCATGTTCGGTCAATGTCTTGATCGTCGGTCTTCACTCTTATCTATCTTTCTTCGCTTCCCCTTCTTCCTTCTGAACTTTCCAAATTCCTTACAGCTTTAACCCCAGTGTTGACTGATACCGAATCATGCATTGCTGCTCATACATACCCTTTCTTATGTCTCGTTTAATCGATTCCGCTAGTAAATTCCTTATGTACTCGCCTACTCACCCGTTTCAATTAATCGTCTAACACTCTTTACCATTTCTTGGTTATTATCAGTGATTTCTGGGTGAAACCCATATACGGAACCTTACTCCCTCAACTTTTCTTGTTTGAATTTTACTGTACATACATTTGACATGTCAATAATCAATTACCTCATTGCTTTCAACCTGCAACGAATCCGTGGGGTTGGTAACAAAAACCCGAAGATGACCCCACTCTGAAAATCGCACCACACAAAATTAAGGAAAACAACACGCGACAGCCGACGCGTCAAACTCAGATCCCGTGGCTATTTCGCGTTCCAACCATCCCAAACTAGGATTAGTGTCATGCATGTGATCGATGCTATTCTATATCGGGATTAGCCAAGACTCAACCTTACCACTTTATTATCACGTGGCTATTATCCATTGTATGAATATATATGCTTAATGTACAGGCGTGTCGATAACACACCAAGTAGCCGATTTCATATAGAACGTGATCCGGGGAACCATGCATGTGGTGTTCTCAATATATAAGATACTCATCACCCAAGATGAAACTATTATGGCGATATATTGTGCCTGATACATTGCCCGTTTCCGGTCGATCTAACCGGTACCATATCTGCCGAACCAAAGCTTACGCGCCACCCTCGCTCCTCCTGCTAACTTAACTCAGCATCTGGAGCAGGGGGTTCTGCTTCCTCTTTCTGGGAACGTTCGAATTGCTTCCTCCAAAGTAAGGCTAGATAATCTGACGTGGTAGCCTCATCAATGGACTTGTCCTCCCGGACGCGAAGAAACCGAGGAAACCGAAGACTAAGACCTCGCTCATCGCTCACCAACCCGATAGCAGCCGTGTAAGTCGGGCTGAGCGTGATATCTGCAAATGCCATCTCCCACACTTCCTGCGGCTCAAACCAGACGTCCGGCTCGCCGTAGTATTCGACGTAACTGGGCCGTGAGATCACGTTGGGGCTGCCTTCGATGTATTTATCCTTGTTGGCCTGGTAGAATTTGTCCGTGAAGCCAGACATGCACTTCGTGACGGCTTCAAGGCTGCCAGTTTCGGGATTCCGCACGGCTAACAGGATGGGCGACCACCACTTGGCTTTTCGGCCTTGTCCGTGCCAGCCCCCTACCGGGATCAGGTCAAGGGTCTCGGAGGAGGTGCTGTAGTCCTTTTTGACTTTCAGCCACGATTCGAGTCTTTTATCTGGTTCGTATGTGGAAAGTAAGGCCTTTCGGCGGCCTCCTTTCGTGGGGTGTGATTCCGGCTTGTCTATGTTGTCGCTTGGGGTCTGCGATGGTTCTGAATTATTTGACGTCGAGACATTGTCGAGCACCTTGACCATGATGCCTTCGCACTTGGTATCAGTTGCACCTTTAAAAAATTCTAGGACGGCCTCAGAATCGGCAGATGTGGCATCAAAGCTCTTCACCCATGTGAACCGATTGGGGATTTCCACGAATAAACTTCGTAGGAGCTCTCTACGTTCGCGGAAAGATCGGTCTAACAGAGGGGTCCCGTTCAGGTACATCAGGTCAAATGAAAAGAGACAAACGTTAATCTTGATAGTCCCTATATCAACGTTCTTTTTGGCTCGGTTGGTCAGAACCTGGAAGGCTTGCAGTTCCCCTGTTTCCTGGTCAACAGCGACTACTTCACCCTCTAGTATGAAGCTCGACACACTCTCGCCTCTAATCTGTGGGACCAGGGACACCAGGTCCGGGTATTTCTCTGTCATATTTTCTAGATGACGAGAAAATATCGACACTTTGCCATTCCCATCACAATGCACTTGGGCGCGCTGCCCGTCATATTTGTATTCGCAGGTAAAGTCCCGTCTTTGAAGTTTTGTCAGCATCTCGGAGAGGTCCCTAGTGATGCTGCCTAGCATCGGCCTCAACGGTACATGTAGCTGTAGGCCACATCGTACAAGGAGTTCTTCTGTGACCCCTATCTCGAGCAAACAGGGAACTAGATCATTGTAATTAGGGTGTCTAGCATATGATGCCTTGACAATCTCTTCTGAATTGTTGTAAATCTCAGCCAGTTCTTCCTTTTTAAGACGAGCCAACTCTTGTTGGGAACGGACAGCGAAATCGGCGCCTTCCGGTTTAGAGTAGAGGAAAGCGTGGGAGAGTGCGATGAGCATGGTAGTCTTCACGGCTCCTATTCGCAAGTTTTGGACGAGCGTCCTCACAATATACCGGCTTTCTTCCGCACCCCTAGTATCCTGTAACAGTTTCTCGACGATTCTCTGTTTTATTTCCTGGCTCCCTGTGCCCTTGCTCATGGCAATCCTTTGCAGTGCCTGATATACCCCTTTGACTGTCAATGGCTTGGGCTTCATTAACGTAAAGCTTTGCCTCTTTTTAGCTTCGAACGCCACATCACCAGCGTCTCCAAGTTTATCGTAGAGCGATTTGAGTCCTTGGCTGTTCAGTCCATAGATCTTCTTCAAAGCCTTTGAAATAGAAGAGCCACCGAGTCCTAGTTCTAACTCATCATACGGTGGAGAGATTGAGCTGGTTGCTAGCGATACTGCGGGGAGGACACTCGAAGGGTCGGCATCAATGAGCACTCGCAGGAAGTTAACGAGTGTATCCACAATTTTGATGCGACTTGTCGTGGCATTTGCAAGTACAAATGCTCGGGTTAAGAGGGCATATGAAGCATCGCCACCTGTGGCAGCCCAGTGCTCTTTTAACTCCTCTGCCCATTTGGTTGAGTCGAACGTCAAGGGACTCTGATCAAAAGGAACTGCAAGAGAAACGATGTCTTCTGTGCCGGTAGAAGACTGTAATGATAGTGTATTTCTCTTCTGTGTCTTGTTTGACGGCTCTAGGTCGTCGTCTTTGTTGTTCGACGGTGTCGCGATGAGCTCACCAGTTGGCGTCTGAGTTTCCGAAGCCGAGGCAGCATCTTGCCGGTTCCATTCTTCTTGGAGCTTGCGGGCGAGAGCTTCATCGTAAAGAGTTTGGTCCGTATCTTCAGGCACAGTGGACTGAGTCTGCTCCGCCTTATCAGCTTGCTTGGCTGCTTGGCCCTTGAAGAATGACGCTATGCTTCGACTGCGCTGGGGGGATGAGACTGGGACATCTCTCTTGCGCTTTTTGGCCGGGCTAGACATGTTGTGCTTGAGATTGACAATATCGTCGATGTTACGTATATTGTATTCATCCACGTAAGGAGCTCCATGGTGGCCAATCTGTTGACAGAAACAGGCAGTGGCGGTCGGCGGAAGCTGAAGCTGGATGGAGCTGAGCTCCGCTTTCCCGCAATTCAATTTCATTCGTCCGGAGGCGGAGGTGTCATTGTTCGCGACACCTTACATTTCATTCCCCTCTCCAACACTACCTGACAATGGCGACTCCAACATCCACGCTATCGCCGCATGAACGAACAAGGGTCGAAGATTACCTAAACGACAAGATTCAGGTGTCGGCCGATTTCGAAAGCCTTGACTCATTGCTGTCTAGCCTTCGCTCCCAGCATGAGCTCCAACGAAAGCAGGTATTATTGTCTCACTTATGTCCATCATTACATGACCTAATCAGATAATTATCTGATGGCCTTGACATAGTTAGCAGAAGCACAGGAAGCACTATCGAAAGCGACAAAGGCCTCTAGCGACCATGCCGAAGCCACTCGAAAGCGTGCCGAGGCGTTCAATGAGCACCAGGCGGATATCGATAGGCGGTTGAAAGCCCTCACGAGGTCAGATGCGAGCGATGAAGCGGCAAAACGATTTGAAGCGAGTATAGAAAAGCTGCGCAAGCTGGAGCTGTCAAAGGGATATGTGTCCTTGCTCAAGGAAGCGGAGGAATTGAGGTATTTAAAGCAGTGATCGCGTCGAAACAGAGCATGGGCCGCTAAGACGATATACAGCAAGAAAGCCTTAACAAGCATACAGTCTTCACCCAAATCGGCCATCAAGCCATACACCCGGCTAAGGACCATCGTCCAATCCTTGAAAGAAGCTCAGCCTGCAGCAGAAGGGGCTGCCCCTCACCTAATCGACTATGTCGGAAAGCTAGCATCTGCGTTGAGAGATCACATGAAAACCGACTTCACTAAGCGGCTACTAGGAACATTGGAGGAGATGAAGTGGCCGTCGAAGGACCTATATTTTCCGGATAACCTAAGAGCACAGTGGAGAGAATATGTGGAGTTGCTCCTCGACCTTCAGACACCGTACGTATAGGCCACTACTTTTTTACTTGGTACGCTAACATATCTATGCTAGTGAACTTCACAGCCGTGACACTTCGAAAGAAGAGCCTCTCAAGCCTCCAATCTTGCTACCGCTGGAAGTGATGGTACATCCACTGGAGCTTCGTTTCAAATACCACTTCAGCGGGGACAGGCCAACCAACCGGCTTGACAAGGTAAGGATTGCCATCTGATAGTTGTAGGGATGCCGTTCTAACTGAGCTTCCAGCCGGAATATTTCCTTGCTCATCTGACGGACCTCCTTAACAATTTCGGCGGGTTTTTTGCTTCGACGTTGCAGCCTATCTTCGATGAAAAGGCACAGGCTGTCGGATCCGATCTGGAGTGGAATTTTTACAACGCCTCACATGCCTACATTACGGCTCTTTTGCCAATTCTGAGACATAAGATAACCTCATATTTGCCCCAAATCTCAAGCCACCCGCAGTTGTTGAGTCACTTCGTCCACGAGTTGATGAATTTCGACAACGAGATCCGTGAATCGTGGAATTACCTACCAGATCCTTATACTGATGATAACTGGAAGGGCATGACGTGGGAGGTACTGACCGAACAAGGGTGGTTTGAGCGTTGGCTTCAGGTTGAGAAAGATTTTGCCTTGGCACGGTATAAGGAAATTGTAGATGCGCCGGATAGCGGTCATATCGATTATGACGGTGTCGATCGTTCAGCGACAAAACCTACTAAAGCTGCAATCCGTGTCAATGATCTTCTTGAGACAATAACCGAGCGTTACCAGCCTCTGTCGTCATTCAGCCAGAAGTTACGCTTTCTTATTGATATCCAGATCACAATATTTGACCAGTTCCACGAACGCCTGCATTCAGCGCTGGAAGCCTACCTTGCAATGACGTCGACGATTGGTCGCACAGTGCAAGGTGCTGATGGAACTAGTGTGGAGGGTGTTGCAGGGCTAGAACGGCTCTCCAGAGTTTTCGGAAGCGCCGAATATCTTGAGAAGAAAATGGAAGACTGGAGTAACGAAGTATTCTTCGTTGAGCTTTGGTCTGAACTTCAAGAACGAGTCCGACAGAATAAGGACGGCGGCAAGAATGTGGCTGGCTCGATGTCTGTTGCGGACGTTGCCTCGCGGACGTCTCAAGCTGTGGCGAACGGTAACGAACATGGAGAGGCCTCTGAGGGCGCCCTGTTCGATGAGACAGCATCCGCATATCGCCGCCTGAGGCTCCGGTCCGAATCCATCATCACATCAACTTTGACTTCAAACATGCGCACCGCCCTTAAACCCTACTCTCGCGTTTCGACGTGGGCAACCATTTCTGCTAGTTTGGCTTCTCCTTTGCCCCCTACTTCGGATCTTGCGCCCACGATGCGTACTCTATCCAGCGAGATCTCCTTCCTTTCTCGCACCTTGGGCATCGCACCCTTACGTCGTATTGTCCGCCAAGTGCTTCTCTCTATCCAAACCTACATCTGGAATAATGTTCTTACGAGGAATATGTTCTCCGCTGCAGGGGCAACGCAGCTGATAAGCGATGTTGAGCATCTCTGCAATGTCATTGATGTGGCCCTTGGCCCGGCGGCTCAGGTTGGCAGCTCGGCGAATGTGCTTAGGAAGCTTAATGAGGGCCTCACCCTTCTCGGATTGAGTATCAGTGGGCCGAAAGCAGCAGAGAATGGGTCTGCATCACAGGACAGTGATCAGCAGGAAACGGCACCGCTAGGACTGTGGGACGTAGAGAAGAGGCTGTTCAAGGACAACGAAAGCGCAAGGGTTGTCCTTGGTGAATTGAACATCGAAACTCTCTCCGAAGCGGAGGGGAGAAGTGTTCTGGAGAGGCGAGTTGAAATTAATAGTTAGATTTAGCGACATTACATTCGTCAATCATTGTGGGAACTGATAGTTATGCTTAAAATTTAGCTTGCATGAGATATGTTGATATGAATCTAGTGTACCTAATAATGTTTTAGCACAGCGGCGTTAATCATTCATTGTAGTATTTACTCGAAAATAGGAAAATCTATGAAAGGGATGTTATATAGTGCTTTTGGGTAACCCTGACAACCAAACGTACAAGATCCTGTTGAAAGAGTCCTGCCCGGAGAGCTGTTTTCAGCTCGTTACGTATGATTTAGTTGTTCCAGTATCAGCTTAAGAAAATGAGAGTTCAAGGGTGATGAACAACTGGACCGTGGCCACTTTCCCCCGGTCTGTTAAAGTTCTTTGGAGCATTCTGCACCTTCATGTTCTCAAGTATACCCGGACCAACCTCTTCAATTGCCCGCAGAAGCGCCTCGACGGTTTCCTTTGTAGTCTGCACATTAACTACGCAACGGAAGAACTTGCCATTCCCGACGGCATCCTCATCACCGCTGGGTGGCGCAAAATCAACCATGAAGCCCTTGCTCACGATCGCATGCGTCACCTGCTCGGTGACCTTGCTGTTGGCTTTGCCGCGCTCGGCCTCGTCCGAGACGACACCACGAGGATGGAGGAATTGTCCGCCGGGAGCGTAATAAAAGCAGACCTGGAGGCATGGAGGAGGGTTTTCGCTGACGAGGATGAAGTTCGGGTTCTCAGCGACAAGAGTTGCAAGATGCGCCGCAGTGTCGCAGGCAGTGTCAATCTGCTTCTCGTACCCTGCCGTCCCGTAGTAAGTCCAGCCGAGGAAGAGCTTGAGGGAATCGGCGCGACGACCGCACTGGAGGGTCAGATCTGCCAGGTCCCAGACTTCGGGCGAGTCAACACCGAGTTCGGACTCGATGGTACCATTACAGCCGTTGGCTTCGGGAAGCTCGGTGTCTTCGTTGTGGAAGAGGTACCCAGCAGGAAGGGTGTTTGCGCGATGGAAGCGACGCAGATCAGCTGCAAGAAGGAACGAACAGGTCACCGGCACACCGAGCATTTTGTGAGGGTTGATTGCAATGCTGTCTGCCTTCTCTGCCCCGGCGAGTTTCTGTCGCTGGCGTTTGGAGAAGGCAAACGAGCCACCCCAGGAGCCGTCAACATGGAACCACAAATTGTATTTCTTGCAGATGGCGGCAATTTCGTCAAACGGGTCGAAAGATCCCATAACGGTTGTTCCCGCTGTCGCATTGACGTAGAACGGGGTACGGTTCTCCCTCAGAGCCTTTCGGACTAGGTTCTCCAACTCCGCTGGAATCATGCGTCCTTGCTTATCGATAGGTACAGACCAAACTGAGCTACTTCCGAGTCCTAGCATCTGTGCTGCCTTCTCAATGCTGTAATGACCATGGGCGCTTGTGAATAGCACGAAACGGTAATCTCCATTTCCGTCTTTTTTTGTAGCAGGGAAAAGATTGTTTCGCGCAATGACAATTGATGTTGTGTTCGAGGCAGAACCACCTTGTACCGATATACCTCCCGCTCGTGGACCATTAAGCCCAAACAGCGAAGCCAGCTGTTTGCCGGTGAACTTCTCAATAACCGTTAAAGCGGGTGAGACCTGGTAAACGTGGACGTTTGTGTTCAAGGCGGCCAAGATGAGCTCAGAGGCCACACCCGGGGCATTGGTGGATGCATACAGCTTGTCAAGGAAGCCCTGGTGCCAAGTGTTGACGGAGTATCGCAAGACCTTCTGCAGGGCCTCGACCAGACCATCTTGCCCCGTTCCTTGCTCTGGCAATTCCAATTGAAGAATTTTCTGAAGTTCCTCCGGTTTCTTGTGATCCACTAACGAGGTACTCGATGGTTCAAGGTTGTTATGAGTGCCGTTGGTTCCATTAACGCCATTTTCCAATGCCTTCTGCCCTAGGGGATCTTGATCTGCAGACTGGATGAAGGGAATCAGGAGGTCTTCGACCGCACTTAGAAGCTAAGAGAATACATATCTATTAGCACTGGAAGCAGTTCCTCTCAGAAGCTTGTGGAATTCTCTCCAGAAAGTAGCAAGCGCATTCTGACTCACACTTCGCACTTCTTCCGCGCGGCGGGACGGGGAGGAAACAGCCATCTATGACTGATTGTAGTTTTAGAATAATATATACTGTGATATAATATATGGGAAAGGATATGTACACCAAAATTGACAATGGTTGGAATATTCAAAAAGGTCCGAGGTCATTCATAGAAATTACGATCGGAGGACCCATTCTGTCACCGGCACCGTTGCGGATCCGCTGGAGAAATGGATGGCGACAGACCCGGAGAGTCTGACATCATGGTTCCAGAGGCCAATGGTGGCTCTGTAACGGTCCTTAGATTCGGCTCCCCGAGCGAAAAGAGATTTAGAAGCATTTAGGGTCTTCTTTACGATGGTGGGGAAGAGAAAGAATTGCTTATCGTTCCATTTGATACCCCGCACGTGTTTGGTTAAACAAAAACAGGCGCTGCCTTGCAAATCAGGCAGATGTCTGGTCGAGTATAATAAGACAACTCTATTCCCATCAATAGACAAAAACCACGATTCCTGCTATGTTCTGGGGCCTTCGAAATACGTTGTTTTTGTTATTGATCATGATGTTCTTCGGCACTTGTGCCGATCATTTGCGATATTGAATTCACACTAATGCGACCTGTATAAATTGCGTGCTTTTGATATCCACATACCCAATCCCGTGACCCTTATGTACATACATGACTTTTCTTGCCGAAAGTTCGCTATACCCAATTGAACACGCTCGAAACTAGGCAGCTACGCCCTTCTGCGCACCTTTCTTCGCATCCTCCTCTGCCTTTGCAGCAAACTTAGCCCGTGCGAGTTCTATCCTAGACTTGGGTCTCTCTCCGGAGCCATTGTTGGTATCAATACCTTTGGCTTTCACAGCCCATTCGCCCCGTCGTCGCTTGTAGAGATCCATCGCCCAGTTCCTCCAGACAGCACGGCCGACGAAGGAGTCCCGAAGCGTCATTTCATGCTGGGTCAACTCCTGTGCCATTCGCTCCTTGATAAAGAAAATGTCCTTGGTCGCAGGCCAGAGTGCATCTACCACATGGGATCCGCTGCTATCGAGGGCAAGCTCCTGCAAATGACTGGTGAAGCGTGGAGCAAACTGTCGACGGAATTGAGCGGTAGATGTCGGAACTGTAAGAGCTTGCTGTAGGACGCGAGATGCAGTAGGATCCTTGGCGATCTTAACGAGTGACTCTGAAGATTGCGCTAACAGACTCGAATAAACAAGCCCGCTTATCGGTCCAGGAGCAGTGAGCATTGTCTGTGCAAGTAGCGAACCATGGAGCTTTTCTCCTGTTGATGATTGGCTTGGAGCAACATTGGCCGCCTTGGGTTTCTGCTCTGACTCTTCAGATTCCTCTTGGGCTGTGTTCTCAAGTCGCAGAATTTGTTCCAGTCTCCGAGCAGGGTCTTTATCGTAGGCTTCCTCCAGTGCCCGAGCGAGGGGTGCTGTGTCAACTCCACGGACTAAACATCGCTCAATAAGCACTTTGGGAACGACCATCCTAGACCGCTCGAGAAGACTAGGGATCTGAGGAACAATTCGCTCCAAGGCTTGTTGGAGATCATCCTTTCCGAGTCTCTCCAGTACTCGAAGCACAACATACCCGGCGGTGATATTGCGGGCAAGTGAAGTTATTTGGTCGCGGAAGAAATTCTTGTAAAGACCCTTGAATGCCTTTCCGGGCATACAGCGCACAATTGTTTCGAGTAACCGAGAGCCTACTGGGTCATAGAGTAATCCACGCACAAACGTTGTGGTCTCAGAGCCCTCCTCAAAGCTCTCATCCGGAATTAGTCGTCTTGTGATAGAATTTGGATCCTTGGCACTCGATTTTCCGAAGTGCGAGAGCTCGAGAGACACTAAGACTTGAAGTACCGGATTTCCAACTGGATGAGTCGCAAGTGCTCTCAAATACGTATCATCAAGTACGGAGACCATATCCTTCATAATCTTCTTCAGAGTAGCCTCGAACACATCCGGTACGCTTCTTTTTTGCGCAGAAGCATCCCCATCCTGTGTCTCTCCCTGGAGTAGGCCCAATTTCTCTTTCTTACGGCTTGCAACAACCGAGTCGTTCGCTGAAACGTCCACGGGCTCTCCCGCAAGCACAAGAAGCAAAACTCTGATTGTATGCGACGCGAACCGTTCTGTCAGTAGGTAACCCCAGTTGCCCTCCAATTCTTCGACCACCTTGATGAACATCTCCGCCAACGACAGTTCAGGCTCGGGCTCCTCTCCTTCTTCCTCGTCTACATCCATCTTGTCACTCTTCGACTTCGAGACTTTCTGCATTACACCGGGTGCGGCATTGATAAAGAGGGTCTCGCAGCAATGACTAGCAAAACGATGCTGTACAAGATTCAGGAAGTGGCTGATAAATTTGTTAAACAGCCTGTGGATTTGGCGCATATCGGACATCGATATCAGTTTCTCCATGAGGCGTGAGCATCCCTGACTGCATGCGATTTTCAACTCCTTTCCATCGGCTTCTTTATAGACACTGTCGACGAATATTCTGCGCTCATCTGCATCCTGGAATTGGTTCAATTCCAACACCTCGTTCGCTCGAGAGAAATATTCCTGTTCCTCGGGATCGAGAAGACCATAGAAGGGCATATCACCCGCAGGCGCAGCACTGTGATTCTCATCGTAGTTTCCATCATTGTTCTCATTGTAGTTCTCGTCGAAAGGTATGTAGTCGGCTCCTTGATTGATTTCGTCTAACTCGTCTGTCGAGGGTTTCCACCGTTTTGGTAGTGAATCTTCGGGGGCTTCTTCGCGCTTCCTTTTCGCGGCATCTTTCTCAGCCTTTTCGGCCGCCCGGCGACCTCTTTTTTGGTTCTCGCGAGGCATAATGTTATTGTTGGAGGGTATTAAGTGGTTGGAAGAGAGAAGTTCTTATCCAGCCTTTTGCGCTGGAAATTTTTGGGATAAGCGGTGGTCCAAGCGCCTTCCGCGCATCAACTAAGCATATGTTTGTCCTGTTTGCTTGGGTTACTTTTCCCTTTTTGGATAAATGTTTTCGTCGATTTCATTAGGTGTAATAATGTACAGTAGTCACTATTTAATTTGGTAATGATGGCAGTCATAGTACAACCAGGAATACAAAACATTCTGAGACAGATTATACAGAAGAGTAGATTGCAGAGATGTGTCTCCCGCACTCCACGCGCTGCTCCATATTCACTGTGCGGGAGCCAATCTTTCCCTTGTGACGAGGCATGACCTGAAGCCGTGCCTCCTGCTCAGCAAGTTTTCCTTTAACTTCCGGAGGCGCGTTGATATGAGTTGGCTTGGATTGGTTGCTTCTCCTGCCCGTGCCAAGTTGAAAATGCTCGTTTCCTCCCCAAAAGAGCACATCGAAACCAAAGTTGGTGTCATCGTTCAAAGAATTGCTAGGTGATGAATCGATATGAGCATCGTTATCCATTACCGCTGATACGTGCGTCGTCCCCACCGATAAATCGCGAAGATGAATAGGTGTCAATTGCTTCTTCCGTTCGTCATACTCAAATAAACCGCTCAAGGACTTGACCTTGGTGGGAGCGTCTTGCATGTGAGTCCATTTTCCATTACCAAGAGCGCCCCAAATTCCTCTTCCACATGTCCAGGTATCAGCCGTAATGCGGTCCAAATCGCGGACAGCGGAAGGGTTTTCACCAGGACCAACGATTCGTTGTGCATCCACAGTGAAAAAACTGTTGGCACCCCCGGCTGCAATTCCCGTTACCTTGGGGAACCACATATTTCCCCTGTAAAGGGTTTTGATGGGCACAGAGGTAGGTGTGTCACTAAAAGGTAGTGCGGCGTCAAACAACATACCCAACTGCCCGAAGGAATTATCGCCAAAAGTAAACAAGCTACCATCCTTACTTAGAGCCAGAGAATGGTAGTCTCCGGTAGCGATTTGTGTGATCTTGGTGCCCTTGAATGCCTCAATCTCATGACACATGTCGACTGGCCCTTTAGGTCGGGTTACCCAAGTCAACCCTGGGATGCCAAGCTGTCCAAAAGATGGATAGCTTTCTGTAGAAGAAGCGACAGAGAAGACGCGACCATGATTCGTTAAAAGAAGGGCATGCTCCAATCCACCGCGGAGCATAGTGACCTTCTCACCCAACTTTAAGCTAGGTTGCAGCAACCGGTAACTTACTCCGGATTTTCCAGACCAGAAAGGTACCCAGGAGCTTTCTTTAAGTTTTCGGCCGGACTGCTGATCATCCTTGGCAATTGGAAGAGAATAAACACTGCCGTCTGACGATAATGCGAGTATTCGGTCGTTTGACATGCACAGCGAAGTCAAATTCTTCCCTGTCAAGGTCTTTGTGGGCTTAAAGTCGGACTCTGAATAGCCTTTACCCCACTGAATGAGGTCGCCATTTTCTGCAATCGCTGCACCAGACTTGTCAGAAAGCTTAAGGTCTCGTAGCACCTGGCCGTCAAAATAACGAATTCTCCGAGGGGTTTTGATGACAGTCTCCTTAGAGTTGGGGTCCACAACACGGTAGGAATTTGTTCCCCATACATATACACCGGGACTTTTTAAGCTTCTTTTGTGTTGAACATACTGCGAGTCTAGTTGCTCTGTGGCCTGGTAGCGAGCATGAGCCTTCGAGTCTACTTGACTTCCGGCCAGATTCTTATCGAGCGTCGCATAGGTGTAGACGAGAAAAGCAGCAGCGCCTGTTCCCGCAAGGCCTAAAGAAGTCTTAAGCCAACGTGAAGAAGACCCAGACTGTTCCGATGCATTAAGGCCATTACTGGCATAACCTCTTCTCCAAGGAATGACGACAGGCGTAGTCCGAGGCAGGCGACGTGAGACGGTGACAAGATTTGTCACGGGCTGTCGCGCTCGAGATATCCACATGATGTGTTGACGCTTCCCTCAATAAGCGCACATATCTTTTTTTGAGAGAATGTATAAAAGTATGCTTTTGGTCAGGTTTTATCAGAAGCCTCCAATTGGTTTATTTGTTGCGTCAAGTAGCGGAAGCGGAATGCGGCGGCAGAATAGCGCCTCGAAGCGGACACGGAGATCACACGGCGACCAATTGGT